ACGCACATTATATTACATTTATCCCTTTTACTTTTATTTCATATTTTAATTGATTCAACTAATTGCCTTAATGTTTTATTAATGTGCAATGAGTTAGACAATCTTTTATCTTATAATGGATAGATGTTGGATGCAAAAACCTAGATGGTTTCTCGAATACAAAAGAGGTGTAGAAAGTTTCTTGGAGTTTGCAACTAAGAGCAAAAATTTAACTAAAATTTTATGTCCTTATAGAGTTTGCATTAACAGATTTTTCTATACTATGGACTATGTCAAAGATAATTTAATATCTAGAGGAATTTTTCTTGGTTGTCATGTGGAACCGACACTGGGAAGAATGCAACCCTATCAGTGAAGAGGTAGAATATGAAATGATAAACAACATATTTGATATTCAACAATCGCAAATGCAAGCAAAAGATCCAAACATGAATTATATAGAATGATTAATAAGGGACACTTTTACCGCAGAAAATAATTCAAACAATCCAACTATCGATTGTGAAACATCTAAATCTCATCCAACAAGTAATGATCAAAGTTTAAAGAGGTTGTTAGAAGATGCAGAAGCAAAATTATATACAGGGTGTAAGTCTTTCACAAAATTATCTTTTATATTGCACTTATTTTGTTTGAAATGTATACACTCATGGACTGCAAGATCTTTTGATATTTTACTGGAGCTATTACTAGAAGCCTTACCCAACAACAGTTCATTTCCTAAGAACACATACGAGGAGAAAAAAATGATGAGAGCATTTGATCTCAGTTATACAAAGATAGATGCATGTACTAAGAATTGCATGTTATTTTGGAAAGAGAAGTCTAATCAAGAGGTATGTGACACTTGTGGCTCATCGAGATGGAATGTTACTCAGAAAAAAATTAATATTGAATAGAAGACAACTTATATGAAGGCACCAAAAATTATTTGATAGCATTCATTGATTCTAAGATTGAAGGTTATTTAAATCAAAAAATTCTACAGTAAACATGATTTAGCATGCTAAACATAGAAATAAACATGGTTTGGCATGCTAAACATAGAAATAAACATGGTTAATACATCTGACAGATGGAGAAGCTAGGAAATCATCTGACTTACAGTATCCTGAATTTGCTTCATACTATCATATTTTTTTTGTTTTAGATTGGATGTAGATGGTTTGAGTTCATTCAAGCTTATGAGTAGTACGTACAATATTTGTCGTCTGATTTTAGTTGTTTATAATATGCCGTTGTGGATTGGTATGAAACATAGCTCATTCATCTTATCAACCTGGAGAAAAAAGCCCTAAAATAATATTGATGTTAATATTAAACTATTAATTCAAGAATTACTTGAGTTATGGCATGGAGTTCAGTGCTTTGATGCTACAAATGGAGTGAATTTCACAATGCGTGCTTCTTTATTATGGACTATTAATGATTTTCCTGAATATAGAATATTACCTAGATAGAGTACAAAAGGAAGGTTTGTCTGTCCTTGTTGTGCTGGAAATAAAGAGTCCTTATGGTTGTATAAGAGTAAGAAGTTCTCTTATATGGGTCACCGACGTTGGTTGCCATTATATCATATATTTCACAAATAAAAATTTCATTTTGATAATAAAGAAGAAATCAGAAGTGCACCTCACAGTTGTAACGAAAGTACAATTTTATCTGATGTTGAAAATTTAAACTTCAAATTTGGTGAACCTTCAAAGTCAATCATAAAATGTTTGAAGATATTTCATTCCGGAGAACCTGTTGGACAATCAGACATTACTTGTAAATGGAAGAAGTAGAGTATTTCTTTTTAGCATGCCATGTTATAAGACTAATTTATTGCCTCACAATTTTGATTTCATGCATATAGAAAAAAATATTTGTGACAATATTGTCGGCACTTTATTAAGTCTTGATAAATCTTAAGATAACTTCCAAGCACGTCATGATTTAGTTGACATTGGTATAAAAAGAGATTTACATCCACAACTCTTGGAAAATGGTGATTACTTCTTCCCTCCAGCCTACTTCACAATGTCAAAAAAGCAGAGATTAATATTCCGCGAGGTGTTGAAGAATATGAAACCTCCAAAAGGTTATTCATTAAATATTTCTAGGTCTATAAACGCTATTGATTGTAAAATCATGAGATTAAAAAGTCATTATTGTCATGTTTTTATTGAAGATCTTCTTTCTATTGCCCTTAGTTCTTGTACACCATCAAAAGAGGTTATGAGCATTATTTTGGAGATAGCACAATGTTTAAAATCGACATTTTCTTAGGTTATTAATCCAAGTGAGTTAGATAAATTACACTAATTATAGAAAAAAATTACAATGATATTATGCAAAATGGAAAAGCACTTTCTCCCTACTTTTTTTACAATTATGGTTCACTTATTCATTTGGTTGAAGAGCCAAATTTGGTGGTCCAATTCACTACAGATGGATGTATCCATTTGAAAAGTAAGATATATTTATTTGCTTGTTAATTTTTAATTCATTCTAAAAATAAATTTAATAATAATAATAATGTTTAGGTTCTTCTCTTTATCAAAAGATTACATTGGTAATAAAGCAAAATCAAAAAGATCAATTGCTAAGGGTTACATTGCTGAAGAAGGAATAAAGTTTTGTTCTCAATAACTTGAATGAGCTGAATTTTCACATAATGCAACGATTTCAAAATTTTTTATCAAATAACATAAAAAACCTTTATAAATTTCCAAGCACAGAAATTCCATTAGCCAAGGTAGTATCATATGTGTTACATGAAAAGTCTTTAATACAAGCTCATAGATATATGCTTCGTCATTACAATAACATTGGTACGTACAAAAATATTTTCATTAATAGTGAGAAGAGAAAAAACGACATCATACACATCTCACATCAACATATATCGAGAATGATAGCTTCCATGGCTGGTTTAAGCAAATGGTAAAGATGAAATTTACATGTTTAAATATTGTTTGTTTCTTACATAATATTAATTTACATTATAAATGCAGGAAGGAAACCATCGGGTGCAAATAGTTCTATGCAAAGAATGAAGATCTCATGGACCTAATGTCCAATACAAGGTAAAATTTGTGGCAAAAGGCTTTGCCCAACAAGAAGGAATCGCTTATGATGAGGTGTTCTCCCTTCTCCATAGTGGTCAAGCAACTCTCAGTTCCTGTTTTCTTAGCACTTGTAACAAAGTACGATTGATCTTGGAACAACTTGGTGTGAAGATTGGGTTTCTACATGGAAAATTGCAAGAGATCTACATGATCCAATCACCTGGATATCAAGTATCAAAAGGTTTGGTTTGCAAACAGTATAATTCATTATATGGGTTAAAGCAGTCATCACGACAGTGATATAAAAAATTTTCTCAATTCATGAGGGGACAGGAACACACAAAAAGCCAGTATGATCATCGTGCATAATTCAAGTAGTTGGCTAACTGTGAGTTTATTTACTTGTTTCTATATGTTGATGATAATGTTGATTGCATCTACTAGTCAGATTGAGATTGATAGGATTATGAATCAACAGTTCAAAAATTTTGAAATGAAGAAGTTACGTGAAATTCACAGAATTCTTAGCATATGGAGATTCTCAGAGATAAGTTAGCTGAAAAGGGTTGGCTTTTGCAAGGAGCATTTGTTTTGAAGGTGCTGAATAATTTTGGGTTTGATGACTCGAGCGAGGTGATAAGGCTATCTATTGCATCTTATTTTCAGTTGAGTTCATATGAGTGTCCTAAAGATGATCAAGAAAGGAAAGATATGTGATCAGTTCCTTATGCTTGAACAGTGAGCAGTCTGATGTATGTTATGGTCTATACTAGAACGAACATTGCACAAGCAGTTGATATTATGAGCAGGATCATGCATGATCTAGGAAAAAAATACTGACAGGCTCTGAAGAGTATTTTGAGTTATATGAAGGGTATAATTGATGTTGGTTTGGTTTTCGAGATGCAATCAACTATTGCAGATTTGTGTGTAGGCTACACTGACTCGGACTATGCAAGTGATAAGGATGGACGAAGATCTATTATTGGCTATTTATTCACATTGACAGGAGGTTGTCAGTTGAGGTTAGTTTTTTTGTCTACTGTCGGAGGCTGAGTACAAGGTGTGCAATGACAGTCATAGTATGATATTATTAGCCACAAATCCAGTTCATCATGCTCGTACCAAGCACATTGATGTGTGGTACCATTTTATCTAGGGTTTTATCCAGGATTTGATTGATGATGACATAGTTTTGTTAAAGAAAATAGATATGAAAGAGAAATCCAGCGGGCATGCTCACGTAGGTACTATTAGTTCAGAAGTTCACATATTGTAGGAGTTTGGTGAACATTCGAGCTCAAGATTGATTATCCAGTCAGACATTTTAAAGAACTACGCTAAGCTTAATCCTTTTAGAAAGGGGGTACATTGACAACCATTTTGATATAGCTGAATTGGAGTTCGAAGCTCATTTGATCATCCCTCACTTATCTGAAAGTAAGAGATGAGATGGAGATGTGTATTTATGACTTGATTGTAATAAATGATAATTTGATCTTTTGGTTTTATTTTCTTGTATGCCCTGATCCTCTTCTATAAAAGAAATTTAGGGTACATGAGAGAGCAAGATGGTGAGAAGTGTGAGTTGTAACCTCAATTCTTTTTGTTTTCTCTCATCCGGTGCTAGTAAACCCTCCCTTTTCGTTGATGCAAGCAAATCAACTTAACAACAAACTATTTAAAGCATTGTGTTTGATTGTTGTTGGGTGGATTTCTTCATTTCCGTATTGTTTTCTCATAACTCTTATCGTAAGCATGAAAACACAACCATGATATCACTTTAAAATACAGCTGCATAGCGTTTCAACCACATAACATGCAAGTATTGCAAGAGCAGCGGCCCAACAGATCACGGCCCGAGCCAATCATACCCTACTAAAGAGTTTCGTAACAAGCAAGTGCTTCGAAGGGAAAAGAGAATTTAAAATTGCCACAAAACATGTTACGCGCAAAATACAGTATCTTATTATCACCAAACTCGAGCAGAGTAGCAAGCTCAATTCAAGGAGATTCCCAAACCTCAAGGTATACAACAGCGGACCGTTTTTATTACAATAATCTACATCCACACAACGAAGCCAAACCTAATAAGCAGCAGTTTCTCCTTCTTCATCCACAGGCAACATCGAAATCCTCCCCCCATTCCTCGCCGAACAATTAGTCCTTATCTCCCCATTTCCACCAGTCAGCACGCTCAGCTGCCCCATCTTCACCATCGAAAATGAAAACTTCTCAAAGAAAAGCGATTGATTCAGCGCAAAATCTAAAACCGTTTGCCTCGTCCTCGAATCCATATACAAATCCTCATCTGATGTAAAAAGCCCCTGTCTGTTCATTAAATCCACGTAGTACTTGTTGTCGAAAACATTGGGGCTACGGATGTCGAGCACAGTCGTGTTGTTGGAGTTGGAAGACGGGCAAGTTCGGCGGAGGTTGTTGAAGAAGGTCTGGTCCATGGTAGGGTCACGAGAAGGGAAGATGCGGTTGGAGAAGGAGGCACAGTGGCCGCGGCCGATGGTGTGGCCGCCGGAGAGGGCGACGAGGTCGGCGGCGTCGAGATTGATACGTGAAGGTCGGGGCGGTAAGGCTGGCGAGCGTGGCGTTGCGTGTGGCGAAGGTTAGACCGTCGCGGCGGCCGAGCGGGACTTTGTAGCGGGGACCGCCTGACTGTCATGTAGCCGACCACAATTTTTCAGACCAGTTAACATTTTTTTTTTTCGTTAAATATTCACTTTATAAATATTAAATCTAAAAAATTAAATAAATGAGTAAAAATTGATTGACTCCAATGACTTGTTTTTTCATTTTCCTTGTGCACCAATTTATTGAAAAAATATTACGCGAGCGCGTGCAAATAGTATTAGCGTACGAATATGATCACGACTACAAATTATGTAATTTCAAGCTAAACAAATTTTTAGTGGACATAATCGGCTTTATTTTTTCACTCCAAGTTTTTCTTTGACGAATTTTCTACGTGCTTGACACGCGGTCAGCGAGGGGATGACTCCAAGCTTTTTGTCACGTGCCACTGACCGTAATTTAGGATAAAATAAAAGAATTGATATATGAAAATTAACCTACAAATAATTATTTCTCAGAAATAACAGGTATAAGTATAGAATATTTATAAACACATTAATTTGTACATTTATAGATTTTTTTAAATGTTGTTTAATGTATAATATTATAAGACAAGTTTTATTAATTGCAACGTTGCAAAAAAAATGTTCAATTGAATTTTCTAAATGACCTTATAAAATCAACACCAACCTAAAAAGCAAATTTTTCTGCAAAGGATGTATTCCACATATATAAAATTAGCATATTTTATAATATAAACGTATTTATATGCAAATACGCACACCAAATTATGATAAGAATGAATTTTTAACTTTATAAGTTAGATGAATGAAGTTAAAAAATTAACTGATTAATGATATTTTGCAATGCCATAGAACTAAGATTATAAAAATACCAAAGAAATCCGAATCATCCTCACTTATTTTGGACGTAATATTTTTCGGTCTCTTGCACTCGTGAATTCAGCCTCAAATAATTGTCTAATTTTTTTGTATGGACTCCTGACGTATCTCTACGTGCCACTCAGGTTATTGAAATAATCCAGAAATAACAATAATCCCGAAATAACCCAGAAATAAGAGATTATTGAAAATAACCGAGAAATAACCTGAAAATAACTCAGGAATAACATGAGCGGCACGTAAAACTACGTCAGGACTCTGCACAAAAAATGCTCTTCAAATAATTATTTCTAATGTTTTATTTGAGAGGATGAGTGCGACAACTCCCTGTACCAAAAATATTTATTTTAGGAATATTGTCCCATATAGATATTTTTTGTTCCCTGCGTGATGATCAGATTCTGAACATGAGGTCTAGAGCACACTGAGAAATGGAGCTGAATAGATGAAGATAAAAGAATATTTTGTTGGGAAAAAATTGGGCCAGATTATCCTATAGAAAATCGATAAGTAATAATTTTAAAATAAATAAAAAGGGGCATTTACATACAGAGACCCAACTCTTACGACCTACGTATCCTAACATTTACATACATAGCACTCAAATGGTACGTATCCCCATATCTTATAACTTAAATTTTATCTTTGCATTTTAGATCACACAATTTTTTTACATCACATCAAAAATATCATTATTTTTAAAATAAAATATATTTTTTAAAAAAATAAGAAATGAATGAAAAAATAAAATTTTGGTACTCGATATGTACCTACATAAAAATTGTGTGGTATGCATATAAATCTTCCATAAATTAATAGAAAGATAAAATATATTTTTAATATATGCTTCTTAGAGTAAATTTATAATCATGTATCCAGCCTTTCCTTTAATCTTGTATATTCATAGATTTGATGGAGAGATTAGCAATTCGAGCCACGTCCGGGCGATTGTGCGTCCAAACGATGGCCGTGATATACGACGGAAATAATAAATTTTCACTTCGATGAGCTCTGATGAAGAAAAATTTGGCAGTCCAGACAGATAGAGAAGAGATTAATACCAAGGAAACGGAGTCCCGTGCTGCAAGGGCAAGCGCGTCGGCGCAGGAGACCACGCTGCCGCATTTGCTGTCGATCAGAGCTCGGATGTCGTTAATGGCCTTGAAGGCCTCCGGCCTCAATGTCAAGTTTGGCGGCGCGTTCTTCTCACTCGGACCGCTCGCCGATCCGTCCAGTAGCACCGACCCGTCGCACCCCTGCATCACCACTCATTATAAATCATTATCTCATAGGGGCAGTGTCGTATCAGTCATATTCTACGCATGATTTAAGCAAAATCTAAACTTGATGTATGTCATATAAATACATAAAGTCCATTAATTTGCCAGATTTTATGAATATTTAAGAATTACCAAACCAATTAATTTTAAGGTTTTAATCTTGTCGAGATTTACACAAATCTAGACTCCAAGTTCTAGCCAAGCCGTTCCCGCAGAAATGAGTACTACGATACCTGGACAAAGCAGTCATGGAAATGTACGCGCAGAAGCGCAGCAGCAAGCCCGATGTCTTTCTTGAACTGCTCCTTAAGAAAGTCTCGGACAATGGATTCCAGCTTAGGACAGCTTGCCTTATAGAATGAGAAGGAGAGCCCGTTTACTATGGGCGGGAGGCTCTGCGACAGTGCCGGCGCCGGCCAGGAGAAGAAAGCGAGAGCAGAGACTAGGATGCAGAGGAGCATAGAGGCCATCGGGTAAGCCGCTGGGCTTAGTCTACACTTCTTTTCTGTATGCTGGACGGGAGCTGCAGCATCGGTGACTTTATAAAGACATCAATACTGTGCGAATGATGAGTGGCAAGCATCGTAATTTTTCCAACGAAAGCAATTTGTTTGGTGAATGAAAAGACTACATTAATGTGCTTGGTGATGTGGCACTCCATCTTTTTTAAAGAGTGATAGTCTTTCTGCCATGATATGAAATATTTGAGTTGTATTAATGTTTAGGTGTTTAGTATGCAATTATATAGCAATTGGATGGTATATACATAAATGTCAACTTTCATTTTGATGATTTATAGACATACCACTACGTTTTTATGTATTTTAATATCTAACACCTAAATTTAAATTGTTATATATATATGTCACTTGGTCTGTTTGGGGCAGCTTGTGCGTTTCAGGATAAGTAGCTTATCCTGAAATGGGCCGGCCGCAGGGGTCGGCCCGCGGCCTGCGTTTAGTATAAAAACTCAAACGCAGTTTCGGATAAGCTGACGAAAAATGCGAACCAAACGGTACGGCAGTATTTTCAAAACACCGCCCCCCCCTATAAGCTGTCCC